ATTACAGAGATTAAGGAATAAAACGGGGGTTGAAGGATGGGGAATTTAATTCTCCATCGAACAGCATTGGTTATATTCCTTAATATTAATTCGGAGCAGAGATACGATTTTTTAATTAGCGGGCGAGTTGTCGGGAGTCACTGCGCCGAGAAACCATTAGGTTTTTCATAGCGCCGCGACTTTCGTCGCAGTTTTTATTTTTTTATTACAGAGATTAAGAGATGAAACGGGGGTTGATGGATGGGGAATTTAATTCTCCATCGAACAGCATTGGTTTCATTCCTTAATGTTAATTAGGAGCAGAGATACGATTTTTTAATTAGCGGGCGAGTTGTCGGGAGTCACTGCGCCGAGAAACCATTGAGTTTTTCATAGCGCCGCGACTTTCGTCGCAGTTTTTATTTTTTTATTACAGAGATTAAGAGATGAAACGGGGGTTGATGGATGGGGAATTTAATTCTCCATCGAACAGCATTGGTTTCATTCCTTAATGTTAATTAGGAGCAGAGATACGATTTTTTAATTAGCGGGCGAGTTGTCGGGAGTCACTGCGCCGAGAAACCATTGAGTTTTTCATAGCGCCGCGACTTTCGTCGCAGTTTTTATTTTTTTATTACAGAGATTAAGGAATGAAACGGGGGTTGAAGGATGGGGAATTTAATTCTCCATCGAACAGCATTGGTTTCATTCCTTAATGTTAATTAGGAGCAGAGATACGATTTTTTAATTAGCGGGCGAGTTGTCAGGAGTCACTGCACCGAGAAACCATTGAGTTTTTCATAGCGCCGCGACTTTCGTCGCAATATTAATTTTCATATTACAGAGATTGAGGAATGAAACGGGGGTTGAAGGATGGGGAATTTAATTCTCCATCGAACAGCATTGGTTTCATCCCTTAATATTAATTATTCGGCGAATAAATCAACTGAAAAACATAAAGTAAACATTGAGTACAAGGAGGACAAAAATCCCCTTTCTAACCTGTCCCTGTCACAGCAGAACCTGCTACTGCCGAGTTACTCACGCACCCGACTCACATTTACCGACAATTCTATCGGGACGCCGCCTTTCCCGTGGGGTACCAACTAAGATTTTTGGAGGCAGTCAAACCCCCCGATCCGGGCCACTACTCAGGTCTATCCTCTTTGGATCCATGGATGATAATTTATATCGTTAACCTCATATCGGGTGCGTTTCGGAATCAACTACCGTAGCTGCAGTAAAGCAAAATTAGATAGGGTTGCAGTACTGCTACTGCTACTACGTCGATTGCGAAACGCGCCCATCTTCTTTGGGAATTCAAAGTGATATTCCAATGAACTTACCACCATTTTCAGTATCAATGTTTTCTGCAGTTTAAGGCCCGGTTGGTGAGCTACTTACATCTAGCAGGGGGTAGGGGGGAATGCAAATTTGGTTTATTACAATCGCTTGGTGGTTCGAAGGTGGTCAAAGGTAGTCTACTTTTAACTTTTTGGTGGTCAAAATCAATTAATTATAAATAATCAAAAATTTCACCTGAAGCCAGCGGGAAGGATGCATGTTTTTGAAAAATTCAATATATGAATTTATAT